TGCTATAAATAAAACTATAGCAAGTTATAAGGGCTAATGATTGATGAGGAGAGGGGAATATGCTGTTTTAGTTTGGGTGGTCAATAAAGGCCTCTGTGCATAGGCAATATTTGAGCAGAGACCTGAAGAAAGTGAGACCTGGAGGGCTGAAGATACATAGGGAAGAGCACTTTAAGTGGAGCATTTCAGCAAGGAGCAGGGTGCAGAGAGCTGGGGGTGGGGATGGGAGTAGGGGAAGGAGCTGGGGACATAAGGTTTCAAAGGTAGCAAAGATAAAGGGCTTTGGTTTTTATTCTGAAGGGTTTTAGGCACAGAAATGACATTATCTGACTATGTTTTAAAAGGAGGACTAGATTGTAAGGAAACAAGGAAGAAGCAAAGAGATTGGATGCACTAATTCAACAGTAGTTCTCCTTTCATAGTATTTCATTCTGAGATTGACCTACCCTGTATGTTTCTGGGGAATGCTAATACTAATCAAAGCACTTTCATTTCAAAGGAACATTAAGGTATTTTGGTTTCTACATTTCTAAAATTTATATATGAAAATAATACCATCACTTACAGTGACAATTTATAGCATTGGACTAGTGTATAGTCCAATACACTAAATGTAGTGACAAAAATTAATTCATAAAGATAAAATACAAACACCAAATAATGAGACACATGGTATTAATAATTAATTTTAAATTATTATACTAAGTATGTAGTATCCCAGCATGTGAAAGGTTTTTTTTTCCCTATTATCACCAAAATAATTTATAGGGTTTGTACTGCTTAGGTTACTTCGGAAACCTGGGGTACTTGCTAAAAATGTAGTTTTCTGGCTTTGTAGTATCAGAATCTCCAGGGGTTTGTGGACTCGAAATTTACATTTTAAACAAGCTTCCAGATGATTCTTACATATACATGTTTAAATCAGTGACTCTCATGGTAAAGCAAGAGAATTTTAGTGACTTGACTATTTTAAAGCTAGGTTCCGCTACTTGAATACTAAGTAAAAACAAGGAAGATCATATCCTATTACTTTATCTCAAATCCATTTTTGAATAGAGGGATACAAATAAAAGAAAATTAAAGTTTTACTGCTCTGCCATACTTCTAAGAAAAACTGAGTTAAACTATAATAAAAATTGCAGGATATGCTTTGTTAATTAGGTGACAATAAAAAAGCATTAGAATGAGACCTTTACACTGAGAACGACCTTAGGAACGTTTTGGAACAACTTGCTTAGTTTACAGATGAGGAAGTTGAGACTCAAAGTTAAATAGTCAAAAGGTAGCACAGTTGATTATGGATTCCTCACGACTCTTGTTTCGGAAATATTTCTATTAGTTTATCCTATTTTTTATTTCCCATGGAATTAGGTGATTATTTGGGTAAAATCTTAAAAAGAGTGAGGATCTTTCTAAAAATTCTGAACCTAAACCAGTGTATTCAATATTATACTTCTTTTTAAAAAATTAAGATCTTATTTTGTTTTATATTGAGATATTTTGGCTACTTAAAGAGCTGAAATATCTGTAGTACATTGTAGTACCTCGGGTATTATTATTCAGAATTATTTGTTCCCAAAACCTTTGGATGTAACTTACAATGGTTCCCTATAGGAAGAGCAGCTTTGCTGACCAATGACTGGGTTTAGCCACATGACTTGCTTGGTCAACACAATGCAAACAGACTTGATGAACTTTTCAGTGCATTTCACAATGCTGCCAGTTCTCTTGCTTTAATGCCCTCTGCCACTAGAAGGGCATATCCCAGGTAGGGCCTTCTCTTTCAACCTGGGGCCTGAATAGAGTAAACCTGAACCTGAATCACATCCTGAAGTGCAGCCACAGCAATTAACCCACAGCAGCCAACAAGCCACACAATGAAAAATACATGTTGTTGAAAGCTACTGAAACAGTGCAGGTAGTCTGTTACCCATTGTACTCTAATAAAAGGTAATACATACAAGCTCCCAAATCTGGATCAAGTCTGGTACCTGAAACAGACAGATTATCAAAAGTAAAAATTCTGAGGTTTTCTGACCAAGAATCTTTGTTACAAAATGGGTAAATATCTTATTAATGTGCCTGCAAATACATTAGTGATAGAATGTTTTTATATGGTTTAAGAGCTTGGTATATGATAGGTTCATATCTGAATTATGGTCATTTTTGTTTGGAAAATAGGTGTAATGAATCTACACGACAATTTCATAATGTAAAATTGCACCAACATGCACAAAGGAAATGCCACAATTTATCTGGGGATATAATTTTCAAAGCCATGGAAATACAGGGAAACTCTTTAAAAAAATTATAATCCCATAAACACACAATGCTCTTATCAATTTATATGATTTATGTCAGATTTACATCAGCAAAATAATTTGCTTATAAAATTTTTCAAAGCTTTTATATGCTTAATTTTCCTAGATTATTATTGTTTAGAACATTCTTTTAATTTTATTCTTGTAATGTATTTGATGGCAAATAGGAATTTCATAGATTTTGAAGGATCATTTAACTACACGTAATGCTATAGCTTATTATGACTATTTTTCAGAAATTATGGGATCAATGTTTAATAACTTTATCTGGCAGAGGGGACCTGGAGCCAGTTCATATCATCTCAAAAGAGCAAAGTATGTGTGTCTCATTCCAACTCAGCATTAAGTGACTTCACATTGATAGCTTGAAATCAGCCAGATGGGAGTATTACATGACAAAAATTGGGAAGCACTACAAATTGGAGCTTTTTTTTCTCCCAAGAGTTGGTAGCTAACCACTTATCAGTGTACCACTAGGCTTAAGAAATTCCCCTTCTTTGACACTTGGTATTTTAATGTTTAAAATATTTTTTTAATCGCCCAGATGTTTATGAGGGGAGACTTAAGGTTATGGAGAACTGAAGCTAGTGGCTTGCTACACAGGTTTATAAGGGCTGAAGGCACGAGGAACGTGGCCTGATGATGCTCCAGGAGCACTCTCCATTCATACTCCAGGCCCTGGTAAAATGGATGCACCTAGAGCAGGAAATGAAAAAGACTCTTGATTTTGCAAGGAGTGTATATAGATCGTAAAGCGGAAGGCACTTGGAAAGACAAAGGCAGAACAGTCCTCAATCTATGTGTTTCTCTTTTCTGTGCACATGTCCAGACATACCCTGCTGACAGTGAAGATAACATATAATAGGGACACATCTTGTAAATTCTTTCAATTTGACAAATATTTCCGATTATTAGGACTTAAGAACATTTATTTTAGATTTTACTGGATGGAGTTATTTTTATGACTTTCAAATGAAGTTACTAGGGCTTCAACAATATTGACTCTATTTGGGGTATCTGTCAGCAAAAAACATATCAAGTAAGAAGAATGGTGTGTCAGAATTTATGTTAGTATTAACAATTCTCTTGCCTTGGTTGTTGTAATCTTAGCAGCGATTTATAAATATGCTATAGAAAGCGTTGCAGAAATATAACTTCCCACTAAAAAAAAAAAAGTTTAACAAAATTAGCATATATTTACTGGAGAAGCTGAAATAAGTATATGCAGGTGTGTATATATACATGTATGTATACATATGTATGACTATACATATAATAGGGTTCACATTTAAAGTATTTATTTGTAAAGAAATGATTCTCATGATAAACTACCCCTTTTCCTTCATTCTCAGACTTCAGCAAAACAGATGCTAGCAGTGAATTTTTACTATACTTTTTTACAAAAGTTACATAAACATTTTTAAAATAGTCACTTATCAGAAGTTAATCTAAAATTTCTACTTTTTTCTATTACTATATAATGGATGGTTAAAATAGTTTATGGACCAGCACAACATGTAAATATTAATTAAAGCACTTGACAGTTAAATCCTACATACAAATATTCAAATTAAAATCATCAACTGGAACAGCAGGCCCTTAAGGTATTCCCAATTACTAGACTACGAGTTGTATTTCACAGAATTTTATGATACTAGAAGTAAATGAATGTTCTAAAACTATAATACATTAATAAAAAATGGACTTAGAAATTATGGGTCAAAATAAAAAGTAATCACGCTCAAAAATATTTTTAAAATCACATCACCAAAATATTAGTAACTTCCAAGGATTCTTCTTAAAAAATAAAAAATACTTTTAAAAGAAACAAGATTACAATGCATAATCTTTAATGAGAAGGTTAAAAGTGACCTTAGTGAATACTTTTCATAATACATCCTACAATGCTGTTAGTGGCATTTTCTAAACTGTGCTCTGAAAAACTAATTTCTAAGAGAAGTTGATAGGTATTCACAGAAGTCTGGCAAACAGTACAAATCTTAACTCACCTTCACAGTGTCTGTCCATTAGCCTTTTAAAGTCCCTGAAGTTCAGCAGTAAAGAAACCTAAATGTCTTGATACATAACCATTTTGGGAAATTGTACTGTGGTTGTTTGTATGCCTTTTCTATACCCAGCACCCTTACCTCAATCTGTGCCTAGCTCAAAGCTATCAATGTATTTTTGTTGTCAATATATATTGACTAAACAGTGTCATTCATTCCATCCTAGCTCACCAAAAGTAGTTTGGGGCTAAGAACTGTGGAACAACAGAAGAATTATAGTAATGAAGGGATTGGTTTCTACAAAAGGCCAATACATGATGCTCTGGGAGTAAAAGGAGGAAAACGCTGTATCAAATTTTCGTTTAAGTAGCAAATCAAACTTTTAAGTAAGTAAATCTTAATTTGGAGGAATGATTGAGAAGGTAGAAATAAATAACAGTGTGAACTCAGTTTAGAATATAGTTGCAGACTCCTGTAATCTCAGGGTTTAAAATGCACCCAAATTGATGTCATTTCACAGCATGTGGATGGATTGTTAAGAGTTCTGTACACAGGCGATGGCTCCTCATCTAGGCTGATAATTTCATAGGGGCTGTGACACAAACCTATTTTCCCAAACCTTCCGTTATGTTCAGCGGTGTCCTGAAATGATCAATTTTGAAAGTGAACTAAAGAGATACTCAAACTTATTTTACTACTCTAAAGTACAGAATACAAACAACAGAAATCATTAGATATTGAACAGCATTTTTATATAAATAAAATTAAAATATCTCAGTTGTCTGTACAGACAACTTCATTTGTAACAAGAGACTTGTTTTATCTTTGGTATATTCTATTCTATCTGATATGACTATTGTGCTTTTAAACGTTTTCCTTAAAATTTTTATAACTAATACTTCACTAATTACTTTACCAAATACATAGATTAAAATATCCCTAAATGTCAATTTTAGCAGGACTACCTTTTTCCTTTCAAAATGTAGTCAAATATACCTTTAACAGTATTTATATGTACAAAATTTAAGCCAAATACTCAAGCTTACAGGCACAGACCTTGAGTACACTTACTGCTGTGCCAGAGGAGTAATCTTGGCCCCATCCCTACTTATAAAAAAAATCAAATAAAATCATGATCTTTGATTAAAGCAAATGACTCTTAACAGAATGTGAGCTATTGCCAAAAAATCACTCTAACAGCTATGGTTTTATACTCACAGCCTAGGCTTCTAGTAGTATGTTGTCAATAAAAGGAAATGAGGTGATGATTGGCAGTTAATGGTCACTGACAAGATTTTAAGGGTAGTTATAAAGTTTCTCGGAAGTATCAATATCAAATGAGCTAAAGGGAGAAAAGTAGATGCAGCACTGATGTGTCAAAAATGACTTTGAAAGTGAAATTTTTGATGTGTCTGTAACAGGTATCCTTTACTAGCTGAAAGAAACAAATGAAAAGCCAAACATTCACTATTAACATACATGGGGCCGGACACAGTGGCTTATGCCTGTAATTCCAGCACTACAGGAGGCCAAGGTGGGAGAATTACTTGAGCTCAGGAGTTCAAGACCAACACAGGCAACATGGCAAGACTGTGTCTCTATAAAAAATTTAAAAACTAGCCAGGCGTGGTGGTGTCTGTAGTCCCAGGTACTCGGGAGGCCGAGGTGGGAGGATCGCTTCAGCCTGGGAGATTGAGGCTGCAGTAAGCTGAGATCATGCCACTGCACTCCAGCCTGGGGCAATAGAGACCCTGTCTCACATATGTAATACACACACATACATACATACATATATACATACATACGTGGTAGCCAAGTGTAATTTTTACTGACTCTTTGGTTAGTGTCATTACACTTGCACATATGAGTTTTTAGTCTTCAGTTAATTCCTGGGAAATGCCAAAAAATAAAAATACTGCCACAGAGAAATTAGTTTTTCTTTTCTACATATTGGCTCAAAATTAAGCACCTGAATATTAATTGTCTACATTTTGTACTTTTAAGATCTTATTTCAAAACAATTTACATTGAGAGGATTATTTATGTTTTTAAACAGGATCAGGGATATCTTTATTTTTAGACTCTGGGAAGATAATTTACCTGAGCAAAATGCAAAGATAAATAATTATACAAAAATTTAAGTCAGTTGTCAAAACTAACAATGCGTCATCTGGCTTCAAAATTTAATGAACAGAGAGTCTACATAAATATCTTTCTTGTCTACATATCTTTCTTGTTATGGTAAACACTTTGTTTTTTCTAACAAAACACTGCTCTTCATTTTAAAACCTAAACGGCAAAATGAGAAAGGTAACAGCGGAATAACAGGTTTGAATGTGGTTTATAAAATTTGGAACTGGCAAGCATGGATTAACTGACTCGAAAATACTCTGGAATACGGGTCACAGATTTGGTCCACAGGCCAAATCCAGCCAGCTCATAAGAATAGTTTTACATTTTCTAATGGCTGAAAAAAATCTAATGGCTAACAGAGTAGTATTTTGTAACACAAGGAATTATGTAAAATTCAACTTTCAGTGCTCATGAAATTTTATCGGAACATGGCCACACTCATTCGTTTAGGTATTGTCTATGATTGCTTTCACAATAGAATGGCAGAGTTGAATAAGTGCAAAAGAGGCTTATGTGGTGCTGTCATCATTTTGCACTGCTCCTTGGCACACTAAAAATTGCAGTAATGCAGTTACCAACATTTTGAGTGCTACATATATTGTCATACCACAATATTTTTAAATTTATTACTAGTGCTTACCCATAACATCAAAACAAGAGAAAAAAAGAAAAGTAGACTTGAAGTGACATTTTTAAGGCACATTAGTATATGGATTTTTAAAAATCAGATGAGACGTCAGAGTATGATGTTTAATATGCAATGTCATTAGAGCTGTTCTTAAAGAATACTATATAGTGCAGTCAGGGGCGGTGGTTCATGCCTATAATCCAAGCACTTTGGGAGGCCGAGGTGGGTGGATCACTTGAGGTCACAAGACCAGCCTGGACAACATGGTAAAACCCCATCTCTACTAAAAACACAAAAATTAGCTAGGCGTGGTGGCTTGTGCCTGTAATCTCAGCTACTCGGGAGGCTGAGGCAGGAGAATCACTTGAACCTGCAGGGTGGAGGTTGCAGTGAGCTGAGATCGTGCCACTGCACTCCAGCCTGGGCAACAGAACAAGATTCAGTCTCAGAAAAACAAACAAAAAAAAATCAAAAATGAAGATAAAGTCGCAGCCAAAGTGATTCAGTTGTTAACCAAGCAAGGAAAACATTTTACTAACGATGACTAAATTGTGTTTGATTCCATCAGCTGAAGGAACGTGCCCAAAGTAAACTTGCTTAAGACTATTAAATTAGCCTTTTGGCAAGAATGGTTGCTTTAAGAATTGAGAACACTGGGAACAACATCAACAGTCAATAAAAAAGGCAAATGACCCTGAGTGGTTTTCCTTGGCTCTTGATGAGTCAACAGATGTTACTGATACTGCCTAGTTATTGCTTATTTGATAAGTCAATGCCAATGTTGAAGTGACTGAAATTAGTCTCTATAAATTATCTGTGTGGAACAATTACAAGCATGAATATTTTCTAAGAAGAAAACACAAATTTCATGCAACCTGAAGTAGAATCTGCTAAGATGTGTTACAACTGGTGGTGCTAAAATGTGTGAAGCAAAAAGATTTAAGTTTGTCAAATTTTTTAAGCCAGTGAAAAGGTAAGAAGGTATTTAAAATCTATGGTTATTTACTGTATTATTCATCAGCAGGTACTTTGTGGGATATATTTGACTCAACTTTGTATTATTGAACTACTAGTATCAATGGTGAACTTCATTTGCTCTCATAGTTTCTGACAGATTAAACACCAATGGTTCAGTTATCTTTTGTCAGATACAGAAGATGAATGTTCCAATTTGCCCAACCACACTGGCATAATAGTGTTAGTTCTATTATGAGCTTTTACGTGCAGGGTTGATATTGACATTTTTCTGAAAAAGAAGACATGTCCTCAACCACTATTATGGAACACTGAATGGCTTTGGAATTTAGCTTTTGCTCAAGACTTAATAAAATTTTGAAATGAATTCAAGCCAAAATTACAAGGCAAAACAAGTGTTTACATGTGAAACATGTCAACAAAAGTCATTTTGATGACAACACTATTTGAATTACAAGTAACAACAAGCTGCTTTACACATTTCCTGTGCTATCAAAAGGTAAGACAACAAAGTGGGATCTCCATTCTCACACAAATTTGTAGCTCACACTATAGTTCCCATTTGGAGTTTGGAGTTTGCAAGTGCAAAGGAAATTTCCATTTTTCAAAATCGATTTAACCCAGTGCAGTTGAGAAGCTCCTACCTAATCTTCAATTGGAAGTGATTAAGCTGCAATATAGTAACATGCTAAAAGGAAAATATCCAAAGAAGTTACCTTCGAAGTGATGAATATGCTCAACAAAAATCATATTCTCATGGATTAAGTATTTAACAATACCTATCTGCAACGAATTTTCAGAAGTAAGATACGTAAAATCTTATTACAGATCAGCATTAGCAAGTAAGTACTTATAATCAACTTTAATGACACGAAACATTAACTTTGATCCTCCCCCTAAATAAATTATTTTCATTGGTAAACCCGTATTACAAAAAGATAGTTCTCAATTATTGTTTTGAATTTTGTCAATAAAATTTTTGTGCAAATGTTATTTCTCTCCAGTTATTTAAGTACCTACATAACAATCTCAGTTTTACCTCTTAGCCCACAAAGCCTAAAATATTTACTATCTGGCCCTTTATAGAAAAAGTTTCCTGACCTCTGCTCTAGAGCCAGAAGCTACCCTGAACATTTAAAAGCACAGGTTGAATGCAATGCCTCAGAAGCCAGATGGCCTGGGTTTATATGTTGGCTCTGCCACTAGCAGCTTTAGGATCATGAGTAAATTCTTCAATCTTTTTTTGCCTCAGTTTCCTCATCTGTAAATGGGGGTTAGTAATGGCATTTATCTTACAGGGTTGTTGTGAGAATTGAATTAGTAAATGCAAAGCACAAGAAACAGGGCCAGGCACAAAGGAAGCATTATCCTCAAATGACTACTGAACACTTGACATGTAGCTAGTGCAACTGAAACAGTGAAGTCCTACTTGAATTCAATTAAAATTAATAAAATAGCCACATTAGCGGCTATTTTAGTGGCTACAGTATTACCACAGTTCTACAGGATCACGCTAGGGTGTGCGGATGCTGGAATATAACCGTTTTGCACTGAGTAGGACAATGAATTTCGTTATACTACAGTTAATATTAGTTTTCTGTTCAAAACAGCTGTGCCTTTTCGTGCCACAAAATATTTTCTACTTTCTCAGTAGCAGAATTAATTTTTTAACAAAACAATGTATGTTTTTGTATAATTTGTATAATTATATATATATATCCACATTTATGATTTTTTTAATATATAAAGAAAATCCACATATATTCAGAAACCTCAAAACTTTACCTTTTGCAAAATGTTAAGGCATCTGCTTATAGCAGTTGGAAAGCTTTTTTATTTAGTAGTTTACCTCTTATTCTTGATTATACCAAAATTTTTATATTGGCATTATCCAGTAGTGAAATAGACAAAAATATCAGAAGAAAAGTGGAAACACTACAATTTTCTTTAAGAGAAAGGGACTTGCTACATTGCCCAGGTTGGAGTGCAGTGGCTGTTCACAGGTGTAGTCGTAAGTACACTAGAGTCTCAAAATCCCATCTCAAGTAATCCTCCTGCCTCCACCTCCTGTGCCACTAGGACTACAAGTGTGTGCCACCACACCTGGCTAGAAAAACTACAAATTTTCCAGTTGAACAATTAATTCAAAGAAATAACCAAACAGCTGGAAAAGCATGTCTCTTTCTCCAACTAGCTCTGACCATTTTGTACATACTGAACAAAACACTTGCCAGGTCACAGGCTTAATAAGACATCTTTACATGGAGGTGTAAAAAATTACTTTTTTTTTTTGCATAAATACCATGATACTTTATTGCTTAGTGTTTCTTTGAAAATAAGTTAGCATGTTACCATGTTATTCTTTTATCAATCATATTATTGACTACAGCATATCACTGATTAACATAAGGTAAAAATATCATCCACTCACATATTCTTGAAGAGAAGTGCTTGTAATATTTTATGAAAACATTTGTGCACATTTTTACTTGATTTAATGGACAGTTCATTTCATATTTTTCTTTAAAATCTACAAATATCTTAATTCTTACCATTAAAACAACTAAAACCAAAACCCAAAACCAATCCCAAAATAAACCCCACCAAAGCACATTAATTTTATTACAGAACATATATTAAGTCACTGAGTAAAGCTCTTTTTTATGAACACTTTTGGAAAGCTTGCATTCAGTTCTAGCACAGCTCTGTTATCAATCTGCGAACAGAAGGACACATCAAGTAAAGAAAGATCTTTACAAGATTCCAGGAGTTTTCTTAAGGATGCCGGACTTACCATTCTTGTTCCTATTTAAGGAAAACAAAACAAAACAAAAGAACACCTTAAATATAACATTTATATAAAGTGCTAACAATTAATCCATTCATGATTTATTGTTTGTAATGAACCTGAAATAACCCTTTACAAATTAAAATCATTTTTTCAAACATAACTCCATATTGAAATGATTTTGTTAAAAAAAGTAAAAGTTGAATTTTCCAGCCAATTTAGCATCTAGGACCTGAATCTTGCCAATATCCTACCCACTATCTTCATTCCTACCTCCTACCCCTTCAAATCAGCTCCTCCAGACTTTCCTATTTCTGTCTCCCCAGTTCAAAATGGTTTTCACCATGCATTTGATGTAAAATGTGCAAGTGCGATGTGACTTCACAAGGTATCAATTGTGTGCACAATGATAACTACTGTGACACTGCTAGCACCCCTGGCTAAAAGTAAGAAGTAACAAAATTACATAGGGTTCCTTTCTGATGAACGCAGTAAGGATACAAAAAATCCCACAGTTGGAAAAGATTTTCAATAGATCTGCATGGGGTAGAACTATTCCTAAACACTAGAATTATCAGGGATAAAGATTTCATAATATTCCTTAATCAAGAATTTTAATTAAGAAACTTTAAAAAAAAACTAGCTTGAATTCATTATACAAATGAATCAATTTCTTTTCTCTCCTTAATAAAAATAGAGAGCACAGCTCATGTAAATTCTCACTCTTCCAAGTAGACCAAGAATTAATGGTTAGAGATTTTGATAGTTTCAACTATAAAACTCTGTTACTGTCCTCCCTATTTTATTAAAGTACATATATAATTATTCCCTATATTAACTGATCTATCTTGCATTTCGTATCAAACCAAGCAGTCTTATCAGTACAAAATTTTTATTGAATCCAAAAATTTTCTTTCTCCTTACAAAAAGTCTGAGATTGGCTTTTATGTCAAGGAAACAGACATTTAAAACAAATTCATACATTGCATCCTTACCTAGTATGTCCAGCTGCTGTAACCTGGTACAATTACATGCCAATTCTTCAATGTCTGTGTCACATACAGATCTGTTAGCTGTAAGAAAGAGTTTTTGCAAGTGTGGGAGCTGGCGTGCCAGTCTGGTGAAGCACCCAGTGCTGCTCTGCAGAGTGGGGCACCAGCCGAGGTCAAGTTCCTCCAGAAGTGGACACCCAGAAGCCAGTTCTGCTATTCCATTCTCAGTAATATTCTTACATCTCCATAGATCCAGGGTCTGGAGTTTTTTACACTTGGCTCCTATCATGCTAGCTATCACATCATAGTCTTCAATCTGGAAATCAAATTCCAATCTTTTACATGTTATGCTCAGACATGCAAACTGTTAAGAGTAAGTCAGATTCTTAATTACAACCTATTGCTTTGCTCCCATTTAAACAAATCCACATCCTTGTTAATACAGATCTGCCCACTCATCTCGCGGATCTGCCACCGTTTCATAAAACAGCCAGGAGTACTCATTTATTTAAAAATCCATTTAAGAGAACTCCAGACAGAAGACGTTAATGAATTAAATCCCAAAGCAGTCTGAAGTCTTTGGTCTCTCATGCAGAATTAAAGGATTATGTGTTCTTCTTTTATGCCCACCATTTCAACCTTGCTGCTGCTACTCATTGACAGCACCTACTTTCTTCCATGTTATATATGGCTAATAAACTTTGGCAGGTATATAAGAGCTCCCTGATGTGCATCTTGTAGGCTCTAAAACACTATGTGGAAATGCTGATAATACTAATAAGGATACTAGTTTTGGGTTAAATGAGGCATTTGGGGACTGCACATACAACATGAAAATAATGTAGATTACATATGTTAATCAACAGTCAGTTATTGGAGGTGTCCAGTGCTTACCTCATGATTACAGGATAAGACTCTACTAATCAAGGATTAAACATTTCAGTTCTTGGGCTTTATATGCTTTAATAATGTTCCTTTAAATAGGTTATTTTAAGAGGTTCATTTGATTTTGTTAAAATCAGATATTAAAATTATCACAAGAAATCAAAAGCAAACAAAATAGTAAACAATTACAGATTATTTCCTTTTGTTCTTTTGTTTACTTGTATTTTCAACAAACATTTATGCACCACTCCAGATGCTAGGACCAGCAGTAAACTGAAAAAAGGAGAATATTGTCCACATTTTTGGGAAAGACACACAGACTAATTAAGGAAGGAAAAAATACATTCAAAGAGTGACATATGGTGGGAAAATAATAAAACAGTGATGTGAGAGTGATCAGAGTGTAAGGGGTTGACAGAAGAGGTGGTAACTGCTGAAATATCCAGGAATGAGGTTGATGCATTCGAGGAACAAAAATGAGATCCATATGGCCCAAGGGCAGAGTCACGCAGTGGCCAGGCCATTTAGACCATGAAGGAGTTAGATTTTTCTTTCAAGTACTAAGGAAGTCAATGGAGGGTTCTAAGCAAAGGAGTGACATATTATTATTGACATAAAAACCGATGCAAAACCACCTCTGGCTTCTGTCTGGAGGATGGGCCGATGGTGGGGAGGGACAGAGGAGGAAGCTGATTGAGGAGGCCTGCAACAGTGTAAAGGACAGATGACACGGGCTTGGATTAAGGTAGCAATGGTGGAATTGTAGAAATCTGACAGATTTGGGGCTGTATTTTTGAGGTGGAACAAAGGCTGACAGATTAGATATAGGGGTAATGATTTCTAAGGTTGTGGATGTCAGTGTATGTATGGTGGAATCGTGCTGAAGTCCACGAAAACAAGTTTGGGATTTCCTTCATCGAGTATACCTGAACAATACAAAACTGTGGGTTTGATAATCAGGACAGCCAATTAGCTTATTTAGAAAACAAAAAAATAAAAAACTTTCTGAAACCCATGATTCTGATTGTGCCCAATCTGTGCCTGGCCAATCTCAGCAGCATTTGAACAAATTCTCTACCAGCAGAGAATACAGTGAGAAATTCCCTCAAGAGTTTTTTGTTGTTGTTGTGAAATTTTCACAGCACTACTCATGCCAAATTCAGGGCTAGGAAAATAAAAATGAAACTAAATACTTTTTACTGGAACAAAGGCAACCTATCCCTCCTTTATTAACTACAATTCCTTCTAAATTTTAGATATTATGCAGGACTCCTTTTCCCCAAAAAATATTAGACATATTTATTTTCTTATTCATTATCTAATTTTAAAAACAGGGCAAATGCCACAGAGGAACCATCAGCAAGAATTTAAGGGACCTGACTAGGATCACATAATTAGCAGGAAACTTAAGAAAATATCAGGCAGGTCTTACGATTCCTTAATTTAGGCAACTTTAAATCACTTCAATCAGCACTATATAATAGTGAAATTTAAACTTTTTAAAGTCATTTTTTAAAAGAAAAAAAGAAATAGATACATTTTGTCTCTTTCTCAATCAAGAGAAAAAATAAGTATTTCTAAGGAGTCCTAAAAAAATGTTTACGGCATTGACTAGAATATTCAGGTTTATTACAGGTGAGACACTACTCCTCAGAAGTTCTTGTCACTGCAAATCTAACTGGCACTTGTGGTACAAAGATTAGTTTCAGAAAAAAAGTGACACAACTAATTTAGTATCTACATTAAACTCACTACAGAGAAAGTATGCCATGAGGTGAATACTCAGCAAAGGTATATAATACACCACAATCACCATGGCAAAGTCAACACAGTGCTCTATGTGTGTATACTGTGAACAGTTGCTTCATAAATATCACAAATCTAAAAATTGCTATTATATTGACAGTCAACAATAAAATGTAATACAGAAAAATGAGTTCAGTAGTCAGGCAAGGTTTGAAAACACTGGTTTTAGCAAAAGTAAACAGTTTCTTTGTTGTAGGACAAACCACTGTAAAACTCTAAGACCAGGCTGGAGTGCAGTAGTATAACCATAGCTCACTGCAGCCTCGAACACCTGGGCTCAAGCAATCCTCCTACATTAGCCTCCAGAGTAGTTGGGACTATATGTGTGAGCAACCATACCTGGCTTCGTAATTTCATTAGGAATCTCCACTCCACTCCCAAATACACAGCCTTTAAAACTGATTATCCTTTAGAGCTAATTTTCCACATGTCAACTCTGGAAAATGCTAACTTAAAATAATATAATTCCAACCATATGCATATATATAATTCCAACAGTAAAGCGTCTATGGTCAGAGGCTTGATTTTCTAAGGAATGTTGCTCCAGTTTAAGGGGAGGTAAATAACAAGCAGGATACGGTACGTCTAAGCAAAGTTAAATGGTCCTTACCAATCTAAAGAGGGCAGGCTAGCAATAAGGAAGATCCAAGTGGCAGTAACTGGCTGGTTTGTTGTGACAGAAAAGGCCATCAAATGTCACCGGGCCCATCAAGAAGAGTCACTAGAGAGACCCACAGAAGCCTATCAAATGGCTTACTATGGAAAGAATTTGACCAGAAGTGAGGAAAATCTAGTGGGCTCCCAAGGCTGTTTCTAGAGACTGAGACGACCTGTGCCCATACTTGGGGTTTAATAAAACCTAACCACAGAATTTTAAAGACCATGGGGACACGGAGATAAATATCATAAGAGGCCTATTTAGTCTACACTGCCAAATCCTGGGGCATTTCTGAAGCCAGGCTGAGCTCTAAGAGGTGTTCAAATGGGACTTATTTTAGGTCAGGGACACTGTCTACTGACTCTAAGCCTAGCATACCAGTTTTCTAGAATCCTGCAATCATTTTGCTTATTCAAGTCTTCCTACTAAGTGAATGCAAGGCAAAACTGAAATGGTCTGGGGATCTCCTAAACCTACATTGTTTTAGGAAACAGAGGACAAATGAGGAGGAATGAATTCTTCCAGTCAGTTACACTGAAAGATTCACTTACGGCATGTGTGTACACACACACACGCACATGCACACCTTCTCCACATAAGATTTCTATTGTCCTTTACATCTCAGTATTATTTAAAAGCTATGTAATTACGTGGTTAGATTAAAAGATTTAACTCTTCCCATGAGCTCTTTCAAGGTCACATAAAATCATATTTTAAATCTGGAAGGACTTTAAAGTTTATCTAGTCCAACAGTCCCTAAGCTTTTAGATTTCACAGACCAGTAAAATTTCCACACACAAAAAAAGAGTTCCAACATAGGGTGTTAATCTTTCTGTTTTGACCAATAAGGACAGTAAAACAAACACAAAAACAAACAGATAAAATAAACCTATCTATTATCATTGAAATTTCAAGAAAATTATCTCAGGATTTAAAAGCGAAAATAAGCTTAGCGAAAAACTTTAAACTATTGGCATTTGGGTATGACTAACATCTTAGTGTGTGAAGAAACCTAGAGAGGTGATTAGCTGTCGGAGACAACATCTGGTTTGAGGCAGAACTATACTATATTCCACCACACTATACTTTCTTTGCTCTCCTGGACAAATAACATCAGTGTTTCAAAGACATACTTTTGAAAGCAAGGGACACAGAAGAGAACCATAAATCTGAAAACCTGTGGGTGTGTATGGGGCAGGGTGAGTCAGGATATATTTCATCCATAGGAAGAAAAAGAGAACAAGTAACTGAGAAGTATAAAGAATTCTCAAACACTTACCATGACACAACTGCCCAAACTGAGGTGCTGAAGCTCTGAACAGAAGTTCAAAATGCTGAGCAGTGCTGTTTGCTGCCATTAGGGACCACATCAGAGGCAAATATGGAAAGTGAATGAAAGTGAAACAAAGAGAAGAGGTCAATTAGACATTAAAGGCTGTCACTGCTTTTCCTGAAATGCAGCTCAAAAGCTAGGTTACAGAGTCCACAAATGCCATTTAATGAGTCCCCAGAGGCTCCACCATTGATTGGCTTGGAGTCAAGGTAATCATTACTAGTCTCCATTTAAGTCGTCACTTTGTATATGGTTTTGGATGCCCTAAAGATACCTATATTCCCTATGACCTCTCAGTTCATTTCCCAAAGGTAAGCAATTTGAAAGTCTGGCTAAGATTGAACACCAAGACAAGCTAAACCACTCCTCCCTCCACAAACAGAAACAAAAAGACAAAAAACCCACAGTACGCTGGTGACACTCCTGAAGAACAGCTGCAGCTCTGACATTCACTGATCAGCTGCAGCCTGATGGAACTGCCAATAGAGTCACCCCAAATCAGGATTGAGCTGGTGACTTTAATGTCAAAGGATTCTCTTTGCTGACAAGGATACCAACAACCATTGAGCACCTGTCAGTAGCAACATGCTGACTGAAATATATATAACATGCACTTTCTAGTCATGTTCCTGCCATTTAAGCCCATCTATCCTGTGCAATGAAAACGGTCTCACCACTAAAGAAATCCAAAGACTGCTACATAATCATGGCACCGTGAAATATTTTTTAAAACATGTCTGCCTTGAAAAACTGTGAAAAGCAAAAAATGCAAAATATTCAAATTTCTAATTTTTCTTTTATCAATTAAGGAGAAAACTATTCAAACTTACATGGCAAAATATCTTATACAATTTTAATATATTTTAAAATTAAGATATTATACAACTTCTGTAAAAATCTATTCCAAGTGTTCAGAAACTAAAAAGTATCAGTTGAGGGAGAGGTGAAAAATGTGTCAATGAAAATGTAAAACATTTGGTCAAATCCCAGATAAGATTCTCACTGAGAAAATAAAGTAATAAAATATATCTCATAATGTAAGGTTACTTAAAGCAAAAATAATAATAGTTACAATACGTCACAGAGCGCTATTATACTTGTCTAATTATTTCATCATTGAGCATTTCTTTGAATTTAAACAAAAAAAGTTTATATTGATTTTATACTTAAGTTTCAACATAACAACATTTGTAAAACAATCCCATGTAGCTCTCAGAATGGTAACATTAGAAAGAGTATATAAAGATAATTTAATTTTCAGGTTCTCCACAATACTTAGCCATGTGAACTTATTAACAGATAGGAACATAACATTAGGTTTTTTTTTTTTTTTTTTAATTACAGGACCACATCCATATTAAAAGGTTGTTTTATAAGATTTTCCCTTAAGTAAGATCCAGAGAATATTAGATTTTTTAGAAAGAATGTCATAAATTTTTGTTGGTAAGAAATTTTAAATTAAAAAAAAAATACATACATACACACATACAAATAATTCACAGAACTTGTTTGGTAATTTATTTTTAAATTACTTACTATGAAGAATCTCAAATACATAAACAAGTATAGGTTCCAATATAACACCCATGTAGCCACCACTAAGTTTTATCGACTCTTAACATTTTGACATTCTTTGCTTATCCGGCTACATTCTTGCTTGGCTCCATCCATTCACATACTTCCTCAGAGGTAACCTTTATCATGACTTGGTGTTTAAAACATGCTTGAAAGTATATAATTTTACAATACATTATATATCCATAAGTAGCACATAATACTGTTCTATATAGTTTCTATATAAATGCTATTACAATGTCAATATACTTCTGCATCTTCTTCATCAGTGTGAGGGACCTGTCCATGTAAATACATATAGCTCTAATTCACTAATTTTTAATGAAACTTGTTTGGTAATTTATTTTTAAATTACTTACTATGAAGAATCTCAAATATACAAACAAGTATAGGGTCCAAAAGAACGCCCATAATAACCATGTAGCCACCACTCAGTTTATCAACTCTTAATATTTTGTCTTCTTTGCTTATCTCACTACATTTTTGTATCCCTCCATCCATTCATGTACTTCCTCAGAGGTAACTTTTATTAAGGCTTGGTGTTTAAAACATGCCTGAAAATGCATAATTTTAGTATACGTTATGTATCCATAAGTAGCATATAATATTAACATTAGAAATTGTTGTATAATATTCCATTATGCAAATATATTACAGCATACACTCTCATTTGATTGATATTTAGTTGCTTACAATTTTCACCATTACAAACAGTGTTAGAATAAACATTCCTTTACATGCTTCCTTGTGCATTTATAGAACAGTATTTCTCTAGAGCACATACCAGAAGGAGAATTTCCAGGTGTTTACGTATTCTTTGACTTTATTTGGCTTTGCAAAATAGCTCTTCTGAGTGCTTAAATCAACCTGTTCTCCCATCAGTAGTGTAAGAGTGTTACATTCCCACATCTTTATCAACATACGTAGACTTTTCATCCTTTTACATGTCTGCCTGTCTGATGAGTACAGAATGGTATAATTTGCATTAGTCTGATTACCAGTGAGACTGAAGATCTTTTCATATGTTCATTGGCCATTCATATTTTCTGCTATGTAAATTGCTTCATCACATCCTTTGCTGATTTTTCTTTCCATTGGGTTGTTTCTTCCTTCTTGACTTTTGGAATTCTTTATTCATGCTGGATACCAATCTTTCTCAGTTATATCAGCTATAAATACCTTCTCTGAGGCATGTCTTTTCACTGTTTACTGGATTTTCTGAGACATGAACATTTTAAATTTTAATATGACTATATTAAATGTGGCATTAATCCTTTTCCCCTTTATGTTTGTATTCTGTTGTTTCTTTCCAAAAAGTTCTTCTTTAGCTAAGGAAGAATCTAAGATTCTTCTTTTTTAAAAGCAGAGTTTTAGAGTCTTCCTATTTTGCACTTAGGTTTTTAACCCAACTACAATTGATTTTTATATGGTAGGATATCAAATTTCATTTTCCCCACATTGTTCCAGTTTGATTTACTGAAGACTCCATTGTATCCACTGATTTGTAATGCTTTCTATCATATATAAGGTTTCCATATATGCATGAGTCTACTTCTGGGTCATTTTGTTTCACTGGTCTATTTTCCATTCCCTGTACCAACATTTCTGTCTTAATTATTATAGTTCATAAGTCTTTAAATCTAGTATGGCAAATAGCCTTTCCTCATTCTTCAAACATCTCTTAGCTGCTGTTGGCTCTTTGCTCTTTCATGTGAACTTTAGAATCACCTTAAAGATTTCAGTTTTTACCTTTTAGAAATAATACAAAAAGATTAATTTTTCTTAATCTCCTCTCCATGGTCATTAGTTAATTTACTAGCATTTTATCAATTTCTGTGTCATAATTTTTTTTATACCTGATACTTCCTTACAGAATTTTTCTTTTTGTTGAGAAATATTTTTAGTCATTCTGAGTGTCTATGGGTCATAAAATCTTAACAACAAACATTTATTGAGTACTTATTAACATGTCAGGCAGCATTGCTGTAAATTCTTTACATATATAAATCCTCACAACAATCCTATTAACTCATCCGTTCATTTAATAAACTGTTATTGCATGCCTACTATGTGTTAGGCACTGTTTAGGCACTTGGGATGTAACAGTGAACAGAAAAGTTAACAGCCTGTAAGGTAAATATTGTTATTTACCTATCCTATCATTATAAATGGGGAATCAGAGTGACAGAAAGTTAAATAACTTTGTTTAATATTTACCCCAATCTGTTTTTAAAAATAAATTTTATTGTGCATATTTGAGATTTGTCCTCAATCTTGAATGAAAGTTTAGCTAGACTTAGAATTTTGACAGTTACCTTCTTTCAACACTTTGAAAACATTACTCTATTGCTTATCAGTCTCTTACTTGATAAGAAGTCTACTGTCAATCTAATTGTTTTCCTCTGCAGGTGATATATCTTTTCTCTCTGATAGCTCTTGTCCCTTTATTTTTGATCTCCTGCAATTTTATCACAATCTGTCTAAAAATTTATTTTCATTTATTTTGTTTAAAACCCCAAGTGCCCATTTTGATTTGAAGACTCATCTCTCTCTTCATGAAAGATGATGATTCTAAACATTTCTCTCTTCAAATAATACTTCTCTACCATTCCTTCCATTTTTTTCTTCAGTAACTTCTATTCAATGAACACTGGAGTCTCCTAGTACCAGCTGTTAGAGAGGTTTGAAAAATATGTCCGCATGTTATTCTATACGCTTTCCTTCCAGAGGTAGAGCTTAATTCTCCCTTTGAGAGAGTGGGCTTAACTTAGCAACTCACTTTTAACAAACAGTATACTGTAGAGGTGATACAGGTCACTTTGAATATTACATTTATGATAGTTAATTTTATATATCAGCCTTACTAGGCCATGGGGTGCCTAGATATTTAGTTAAACATAATTCTGGGTATTTGTTTGTTTTTGAGACGGAGTCTCACTTTCTCCCCAGGCTGGAGTGCAGTGGCACAATCTCAGCTCATTGCAACCTCCGACTCCCTGATTCTCCTGCCTCAGAATCCCGAGTGGCTGGGATTACAGGCACGTTTCACCATGCCCAGCTAATTTTTGTATTATTAGTAGAGACGGGGTTTCACCATATTGGCCAGGATGGTCTCGATCTGCTGACCTCATGATCCACCCGCCTCGGCCTCTCAAACTGCTGAAATTACAGATGTGAGCCACTGCCTCCTGCCAATTCTGGGTGTTTCTGTGAGGTTGTTTTTGGATGAGATTAACATTTAAATCAGTAGACTGAATAAAGCACATTGCCCTACCTAGTGTGGGTGGGCCTCATCCAATCATTTGAAGATCTGAATAGAACAAACAGGCTGACCCTCCCTCAAATAAGAGAGAATTCTTCCAAATTCAGGAAAAAGCCAATGTCTGATGGCCTTCAAATTGGGACACTGATTTCTTCCTGAATTTGGATGTAAACTGAAACAT